TATGGCGATTTTGTTTTGCATAATTCATCATATTAGGTGACATGATCGATGATATTTTGTTGAATCCTAGTTTCGAGGACGTCATTCAAGTTTCATAAAAGTTTGGCCCAATTTTTGTCAGCCCACAAGGTATAATCAAGTTTTGTAACAGGGCGTAAGATTTTAAACACATGTTTGTAAACAAAAATAGCTTTTACGTAGGTAGATGACGTAGGAGACCACACAACACGATATGAAAAAATGCAATAATCACAGGTCAGGAAGAAAAGTTTTGTTAGTTACAAATGTTTATGTTAAACAGTTTTAGGAATACCTGTTATACTATAGCAATTGCGATTTGCCTGCAATTGTACTGTCAAGTCAAGATTGAGGACTTACCTGACGCAGTTGCGAAGGTGAACGCGGACTTGACTGCCATATCTAACTGGTCTGGGAAATTTGGCATTAATGTCAACCCGAGCAAGTGTCAGGCGATAATAGTAGGTAGCTCCCGCACTTTGTGCAAGGTTAACAGTGCAACGGTACCGCCAGTCCGGTTTGACGGTGCGGTTATTCCATTTAGTGGTGATGTCAAAAATCTTGGGTTGCACATCGACGGCAACTTAACCTGGCGTGCTCATGTTACTAGTGTTTGTCAGCGAGTCACGGGGACGTTGCGAGCCCTGTATCGGTTAAAAAACTTCCTTCCGTCGTCGACCAAGGCGATGCTTGTTCAGTCCTTGGTTTTTCCCATAATTGATTACGCTGATGTGTGTTACTACGACCTGAATGCAGATCTCCTCAATAAACTTGACCGCCTCCTAAATAACTGCATTCGATTCGTTTTTAACCTGCGTAAATACGACCATGTCTCTGCATATCGGTTGCAACTAAAGTGGTTGCCCATACGTCAACGCAGGAAACAACGGGCGTTAACCACTTTATTCTCTCTTCTTAATTCCCCCACTTCTCCTAGCTATCTATCCTCCTATTTTCAGTTCATAAGCGCAAACCACAGCAAGTATCTTCGTTCCACTAATAATCTTCTTCTACAATGTCCCACACACCGTACCGACTTCCTTCACTCTTCATTCTTTGTCCAATCCATTCTGCTGTGGAATGCGCTGCCCACGGATGTCAGGACGGCAACCAGCCGGCTTAGTTTTAAAGTTAAGGTTCGTGAGCTATTGCAGAGGGAACAGACAGACGCATCACGTACTTAATTTATCATTTTGGCGATTGTATTTAATATATATGTATATAAATATATATTATATGTAGTTTTATTCCCAATTTATTTATTTACTTTTATAGTATTGTTATCTAGTAATATTGATAATGTATCTTATGTAATTTATATTATACCTATATATTATACGGATATATGTATGTATTTACAGTTATGCATAATTATATAGATTTTTCTGTGTCACATAAACCATTACACCTATTACACCTACTGTTGCACATCTCTGCATCACCCCATGGTTGACTGTTAGAGAATGCCACCCGGCATTAAGTCCGCCATCGTATGTTTGTTATACAGAAGTGTTAAATAAATAAATATAGATAGAAATACGACGTTCTGCATTTCTATTCGTTGTTTAGTAAAACGTTCATCCTTCTTTGTGACAATACATTGTAAAAGTAGGTACTATTGTTGACACTATAGAGTATGAAAGTAAGTACCTATATATAATTTTTGTCGGTATCATTAAAACCTGTTAGATAATGCGCATATTACATAATTGTTATGCTAAATCGGTAATGTATATGCGTAGCCAGTGTGGCTATAGTCAGAAGTTTACCAGTGTAACTTGGCCTAATACAAAGTATACCCCAGACAAAAAAAATTACATGTGGGCCAAGTAGTCACAATCATGACTTAGCACGTGCATGCTGCTGTAACAATTCCACAAAACCTCAGTTTTTTCCTTCTTCCACTAAATACTTGAGAGTTCATTTATCTATAAACGGTATCCACAACTAAACATTGTAAGTTCACTAAAAAGCGAAAGAGATTAATAAACACCTTTAAACGAGCAATTCTTGTATATCAACGATCTCGGAAACGGCTTCCAAAATTTTTTCTTGATATTATCTAATTCGGCGTTTCCGGGGGCGACAAATTGATCTAACTAGGTTTTTTTCCAAAAAATGTCGTTTTATCCATGCTATAATATGATTAGAATACGAAACTAAATTTCGCCATTAGGTACCAATAACGTTTAAATAGCTTAGTCGGGAAATCGAGTGCCTTTCACGCCTGACAGGTTTTATTTTTTCTGTTTTCTATTTCATCTTTTGTTCTATTTTAGTTTTTGTATTTCGAAAACATTTTTTACTAAAATAAACATCGGACAAAGCTCTGTCATCCAGGTACTAAACTTATATATCAAGACAATTATCTACCAAGTTTATGCACATAAATTAATAACTTACAATCGTTAAAGCTTACTCGTGCATGTATAAGATCGCAATATATTGAACATACACATACTTTGTTTAGTTTCTGTCTAAACACATAATACATAATATAAAATAATATAATATAATATAGGAACTAAGGTATAACATAACTTGTTAGGAATATGCATTTGTTGGCATAGTGTTGCAGATTTTCAAGCAAATTGAGGTCAAACATCATAACCTTTCCTTTTGATCCCCGAGTTGCTTAAAACGGCATTACTTGTCTTAATTTCGAGGTAAAAACTTATTAGACAATGGCATGTAATGACTGGTTTTTCTCTTTTAAGAAAAAAATTAAATATTTTCTTTTTATATAAACTTTAGTTCAATAGATAAAAATAGTTCACATACCTACTTACGGCCAGTTTCAATAATCTATCTATCTGTAGGTTTCTTTTACTAGAGATAGAATTTTGACATAAGCTCCATATAAAATGTGTTAAAAATCTATCTTTATTACGCATATCTATAGATAGATAGGTTATTGAAACTGGCCGTTAGAAATTAAGATTACATAATCAAAGATAGCATAATATAGAATATTATAACTACAGACAATAATACTGTTATTACCAACTTAAATTCTATGAAAGAAAGGCGAATGCACTTTGCAAGGTCATAAAGTGTAAAGAGTAAGTTATAATGCCGTTGCACTGAGTTGTAATGTTTGAACGCATAATATAATATTGTGTAACTTGTGTAACGTTACCAATATCAACTTGACCGGCCACTAATCAATCAAAAACTTAATATAATATGTCTCAAGTAAATTTAAACAGTGTGAATCAGCACCATTTTGAAAAACTATAGATAATAAAATAGTGACGTCATCAAATTGCTCTTAATCTCTCTAATTTCACTAAGTATCGAGTAAGTTTCATCGTAAACTTTGCAGGTCATTTTAAGTTTAATTGTTGTTGAATTAAAAACTTTTCCAAGCTTGGCCTCTTTTCTAAGAAGTTATAAAGTAAACTGTGTAGTCTGTAAACATTTTAATTATTACATGACGTTGAATATATCATCATACTCCTTAGTTAGTACATAGACAATTAGACATGGTACATGAAAACCTTCTTATGCCAATAAGTTATCTTTAACTTCTGTTTTCGTAAACATATTGAGATAATGATGATTAGGATTTTATGTAAGTAGAAAGATGTATAAAGTCATATGAAATTTAATCTCGAATTTTTATCTGTAACCTACATATGTATGAAGTTCCATGTAGGTAATTATGAACAATCGTGCTGTCATACATCAAACATGATTTCAAACTCTAAAATAAAACAATCATACTTTTCCGGCCCGGATATCGAACCTCTTGCTCATTCGAGCCTATTCGATCAAGGAGGCAGTCAAACTTGACAACAATTATACATTATTGCGACGTTTAACAAAATATTGGCCTTGATCTTTACAGAACATGATCTATTTTGTTTGGTTGACAATCTGTCAGTACAAAGCAAGCGTGGTGAGGTCGATGATCTTCGAGATCTGTAGCGAACACATCCTGACTCGCCTTCTAAGGCAACTGTATTGTTCATTTGTATCTAACTTTTAACGAATAACGCTTTAGAAATGACAACTTCAAACATCTTGTATCTATTGTGAAGTCTCAAGTATGAGATAGACATATTTCATAGTACCTTCTTTGATGTTCTATGACCCGTGAATGATCGAGTGGTCGGAAACGCGACTAGCGCGTATGATGTATAGGATTGCATTTACGAGTGTAAATGAACGATCAGAAGTCTTAGGCTACAATTTAAACATTTCTTTTTTGTTTTTTATGGCGTAAGTCGGTATACGAGCAGACGGATCACCTGATGGAAAGCAATCAGCGTCGCCCATGGACACCTGGAACACCAGAGGCGTTACAAGTGCGTTACCGGCTATTTGGGGATTAGGAGTTTGAGGATCGTTGGGGATTCAGGGATTGGGAGATTGGGGAAGGGGAGGGTAATTGGGCCTCTGGTAACCTCACGCATACGATGAAACACAACGCAAGCATTGCTTCACGTCGGTTTTCTGTGAGGCCGTGGTATCACTCCGGTCGAGCCTGCCCATTCGTGCCGAAGCATGGCTCTCCCACACTTAACTCTTGGTGGTATTATGGACTGGCTGTGTCAATAATTTTGTTACAACCAATCCAATATACACCTTAAGTTGTCAGCCTCAGAGTAATTTTTTATTACATTACATTCTGAGTATTCGACGTTTTGATTTTTGATCAATCTTTATGTCTTGCTGTTCTTGATTATTCGTGCCGGTAACTAGGTATGATGGAAATATGTGATGTTAATGAATAGTCATCTCTATTCTCATTTATAGTCGTCTTAGAATCCTATAGACATTATTTCATTTGATAGGTTCGCAGCCCATAACAGGATGGTTTTGAATACACAACCTTAAACTGAGCGACACTTATCGCTTCATACCTCAAGAGCCTTAAGTAGCAACTGCCCAGTGCCCAGTATGTTATAAAGGCCATAAAAAATGAAACGACCCATAATTTATTCTTTTAAGTTTGCGTGTGGTAGCTTTTGTATAAACAAAGAGGCTACTTGGTGATGTAGACCGCGTCCTTAGTACGTTTGTCTGTGCTCATAATTTACATTGATTCCCAACAGAATCATTTGTGAGTATAGGTTTCCGTTATTGTTTTAGTGTCCAAGGACATGAGCCACCTATAAATGTTGAGGGAGGAGTAACAATGAGAACAGTACGAGTTTTACTTAACACAGGAGTCACCGGGACATCATATTACCTCTAACAAAATGTTTGCCAAACTGGTGAGTAGGCCATTCTAACTTATAAATATGTTGTGGTTATTGTGACTGTCTTGTTGGTTCAGTGGTTGCTAGTATGACAGTAGTGCATGAGTTTTTAGATTCTATTTCCGGGTTGACCAAACTTTTCTTAGGGTTCACGTAACTTTATCACTAATGGGGATTTTAGAATAGTGTTCGGTGGTAGCAGTAGATATGTTGTTAGGCCCTAGTGTAACTAAGTATATACCTAAATACGGTACAGGTAAATGGTGTAATGGGAGCGTATTGAGTTTTCCTAAGAAATCAGAACCAGTATCTGGACTGCGTTGAAGTTAATGGTATTTGTTTGCTTTTAATTATATTTATTAAGATACTGCGATAAGGACATTCATCCTAATAATTTCAGACTAGATTAGTATTAGTGAATTTTGTTAGGGAATTACGACGGACCTAGGAGACTACGTACGACGTCAATGGAAGATTTCTTCTTGTTCAAACAATCAGCTTATTACAGAAGCTGCTTTATTTAATAATCGGACTTATTATATTACAAATTAGGTTAGCTTTTGTGATTCATTCAGCTCCATTGATAAATTATTTGTTTTGTTATCATTTATGTAAGTGTTATGTCACAAATGTATCAAATGATATTGTGTTATGAAGGCCAAACTTCTGTTATTTGATACTCAATAATAATAATATTGAATTATATGTACTGAACATACACAAGAACAAGTTGTACTAGTTTAAAAATACATAGAAAAAAGTGATCAAACTTATACTTGACAGCGTAACTGAGAATTAAGACAGGAAGAAATAGTTTTTTTTTTGCAATACCATGTAATACCTATGTAGGTAGATACTATTTGCATACGTTTACATAACAAAGGCAAAAAATTAAACAAAATAATTAATGAACAGGCTTGTTACAATTATATTTGCATACAGTTCCCTCTGTTAACGAAAACCTGTATTAACAAAACTCAAAATCTAACTTATCATGTTGTCTCTGAGCAATACAAAACCTATTGCTGATCATGACAACAATAAAAAAACAAAATGCTTTTGAACTATTTAAAAACCAATCTCTACCTCGTTGGCCGACGGTCGCAAGTGCGACTGCCGTGGCAAAGGATCTCGGGTTCGATTCCCGGATCGGGCAAAGTACTTATTACTGGGTTTTTAAAAAATTCTCAGTAGTAACACGGAGTCTGGAATTGTGCCCGGTATATGGCAATAGGCTCACCCCCTATTACATGGGACTCGTGAAAAGTGGGTGTTACATTGTGAGGTACAGTGGCACAATGTGCACCTCTGCCTAGCCTTTCGGGGATAAAAAGCGTGATGTTATGTTATGTTAAAAACAAATAACCACAATTTTCCTAAAGTAATCAAAAATCTTACAAATGTTTACTTACGTCTACGTCTTTTTAACCGACGTTAAAAAGAATAAAGGAGGTTCTCACTTGGACTTGTATGTATGTTTGTACACGATTAGATAAGGAATTCAGAAAAGTGTTCATTATACTTAGAAGAAGATTTAAGTACCTACCTCTATATTATTAATTAACCTACGTCAAAAAAGAGGGGATTGAAGTAGTTTTTTAAACGTAGTATATAAAAGAATTATTCAATATTCAGTTCTAAAACTACCGTATTAGTGCAACTAAACAAGAGTCTCCAAATTCAGCCAAGTTTGTAGATTAGACGCTTTGTATACTGCCAAACTATCTGAACAGCTATTATAAGCATCAGGCCCATGATATATAGGGACGTTGACTTCCCTAGTTCCCTTGCTAAAGGTCACTATTATCACTGTTTAAGTAATTATTGTATTAGTAAATGTGACTATTATGGGTGTTGTGGTGTCCTTTTGTAAATAAATAGATTTAATTATACCATAAAGGTAACCTTTAGGACTACGGTAGGAACATTTTAGGTATCATTAAAGAGACAAATAGGAAAGGTAGACACGAAGTTAATTTATGGTAGGTACACAAAGATTTTGCATTAATTAAGAATCAGTTATAGAGACAAACAGAATAACCACACAGGTAGATTTATGCATATAAGTACCCAAGGTAGATACTATAAGAAAATCCAAAGTAAGGTTGTCTATCCTATAGTATTGCCATTTTCTATTTATACATTCCATTGTTAAAAAATCTTCCATTGTAAAAAAGTAACTACATAATAACATGTTTTGTTAACATTATTTTGTGTTCTCTCTTATTTGCTATAAGAACATCAAAATAATTCTTTTTTAATTCTATTTTCAGTTGATCTTGTTCGCCGTTCTGGCTGTGGCTCTTGCGAGGCCTCAGTTCTACTCCGGTTATGGCAGCTACGCGTCCGGTTATCCGGGCTACTACGGCTATTCCGGTTATTCCGGGTACTCCAACCCCCTGAGCTACGGGTCCTACGGCACTTACGGAGCTTCCCCGTACAATTACGGCTACGGATACTACTGAGTCTGAACCTTATATGCTAATGCCCAATGTTTACGCCTAGATATGTGATCTACCTAATGTTAATTCCTTGCAATATATACTTACTGTGAATACAATTGAGTTGTTTTTTTATTTGTGGTTATCCGTGATTGATGTCGGGTTCATGGTTTTGTAGTCTAAGATGAGGACGAGGAGGAATGCTATTATTTTACGTAAGTATATCGAACTGATGATGCCATCTATGATACCTGGAAATTTCTGAGCCATGACTTGAAAAATATTATTAAAATTATGATAATCTATTTAACTTGCATAAATTACGCATACTTAGACTGTTATAGAACGATTGCTAACTTGTTACTGTAAGTAAAACTTGATTTATGATGATACATTACCCCTGGTGTGACACTAGCGATAAGTTGATCTAAAGATTACACGAACAATTTTCTTAAAAAAACATTTCCTCATTAGGATTTTCTCATGTGTCGTGGATGCGTTTACAAACATATATCACATAAGCAGAAAAAAAATTTAAGATGGTTTTCGTAGTACACAGCACAAATGTTTTATGTCTCATCTACTAGAGGTAGTGGACAAAAATATCAAAAACAATAATTTATTAAAGACCGTATACTAAAATCTTTTTGTTATTTTACTTTTTACATTTGACTGTCTCGTTGGCCGAGTGGTCACAAATGCGACTGCCGGGCAAGGGGTCTCGGGTTCGATTCCCGGGTTGGGCAAAGATTTACTGGGTTTTAAAAAAATTCTCAATAGTAGCACGGAGTCTGGAATTGTGCCCGGTATATGGCAATAGGCTCACCCCCTATTACATGGGACTCATAACATAAATAGTGAAAGCTGGGTGTTACATTTTACAGTGGTATAATGTGCACTTCTGCCTACCACTTCGGGGATAAGAGGCGTGATGTTATATTATGTTTTTATATTTTATTCTGGATCAATATCTCTGAAAAATAACGAAGACATAACAGGATTCAACAATCTGTAAAAGATATTTGATAATAACTTAAATGGAAAGTAAAGTTTGCCTACATTAAGAGCGCCTATGCTCTGTGAGGCACAATGAAAAATTCCTTTAGGTTCTTAACAACTTCGAAGAGAGCTTTTCTTATAAGAACTTGGAAAGAAATAGTTTTAAAAGTGGCTTATTGAGGCTGGGGCGTTGTACTATTGAGTGGAATGTTCGAGATGAAACATTTGTTTACTGTGTTACAAGTGCTAAGATAGCAAATAGAAATATTCTTTACTTCATGTGCTTTGGGTAGGTTAAACATATATTATATTTATTTATTATATTTATTTATTTATTATTATATATTACCGACGAGTATACATGAAAAGAATGATGACTGTTGAGGACGCAAAAACCTACGTAAGAATCGTAGCAATTGGTGTTCCATAGTTTCTGCCTACCTCAATGGAAGACAAGCGTGAGGTTAAGTATATATGTATGTATAATTATTGTGTACTTAATTAATTAGAAACTTAATATGACAATATGCTCACTCCCTATGACGAAATGATTTTGTATATTTGCATCTGCCAGCGGAAGGGATCTTTTTAGGTTAAAGAGCGTGACGTCTTGTTGTGTTACTTGCCCCTTAATTAATCCTTAGCCTTTAGCCAAACGCCACTTTAGCGCTTGTCTACAGAGAGAGTAGATATCAAAATGTATGGGGATGAAACTGATAAGTGTCAAAATTTACGTCAATCCCATATAATTTATTTTTCTATTCTACATGTAGACAAGCGCTAAATGGCATTTGGCTACAGCTGCTAGTTACATATAATAATGATTGGTGAAATCCGGATTTTTAGAGGAATAACATGCCCGTTATGTTGTGTACAAAAATGTAATTAGATACACAAAACTTAAAGTTTAATGAGATTATTAATTTTTGTGAATGTATTTACTGAATAATCATCGATCATGCTCTGAAATACAACTTTTTTTTATAAATCGATGATGGGGAAACACTTTTTTTTGATGCCTTTAGATAGCATTTTTATTGTTATTACTTTTTTAAGGTGTAAATTTTTAAGATTTTAGTAATTTATATTTTTAGTTTTATATGTTTAGTTAATTTAAATTCTTATTAATAAAATACAACTTAAATTGTCTTATGTGTTCGGATATGTGTCAAAATAACAGCACACTCTATGCACATGTATGACGAAAATTGCCCCATATTTTCTTCTTAACGATTAACTTATACATACCTATATTAAGACTCCTAATTCATCAAATTGTTATCTATCTCCAAAATATGTATTATTTACCAGTATACCAGATGACACATAACCACCTCCCCAGGCAACTCAGATGCAACTAAAACTAAACAACCAAGTTGAAGTTAATGATAAACAATTCACGCAGTTGTAGCATGATCCAATTAGACAGCCTATTAAAATTTAAATAAGGTTTGTTTTAAATAACTGGAACCTATAACTGCAGTATTTATGAATAGTGAACAAAGCTACTTTGTAATGCCCTAGTACATACTGGATAGGACGATGCCGCCCAACACGGATGTTAATGTGATATCATGTATATGGATCGAGTACTTGTACATAGATTCAATTATTACACTGAAGATCAAGGACAGTTTTTTATCTTAGAACGACAAGACTGCTAATCGGGGCGTGGTCGTTTGTATCTGTATATAAGCCAGGACCGACAGACCAACAGTATCACTTGAGACAGCAATCCCAAGTTACTCTACAACCATGTTCTTCAGACTGGTAAGTTGATACAAATATTTATTTTTAATTATTTAATATTAAATTAATATCTATTTCAATTAACATGGTATTTGGAACAGATAAGTAGGCGCAGTGTGCATTAACTTCTAAATTGACCGAGTGAATCCCAAAAAAGAAATTATCTCAATGAACTTCAGCACAAATAATTCAAATCTTTTTTAATTAGATTGTGTCAAATTTCCTTCATGAGTCAATCCTAAATTAAATGTCGATGTATTGAAGACTTTACTAAATTCTGGATGTGAAGGCCTCCAATCAAAATTCAGCTTCATAGGGAAGTTTAGACATAAAGTTTTTTATCTGCAAATAAATTTGTGAGAAAGCGACCAAGTTATCATATAGGTACAATTGGGGTAAATGTTTTAGTATCATTTAGCTTGTTAGCGAAAGATATCACGATAACAAGGGACAGTGTCGTTTGTTTCTCTATATCGTTTACACATGACTTCGGCTGTTGACCGGCGGAAATTTTATCATAACAATATAACTTTATGTTATCTGACCCACGCGGAGAAATGTGAGCTTTTTGTTTTGCTTTTCCAAAAATAATTACTAACAATCATTAGGTACATGTTATTACTTTTTATATCAGTTCTGTAATGAAATTGATTTTGTCAATTTAAGTATTTATGTTCGTTATTTGTTAATGACTAGCGTAACATACAGAGATATGATGTATCAAAATAGATTGCTATAACCCGAATAAGAAGTAAAAAGGTTTTCTCAACAATATTTAAACCTCGAAATAAGTAATTGAGCGGTTATTCAGTTGCTATACCTTGATTCCAATTTTTTTCCATCTAACCAATGTGTCTTTTGATGACGTTATGTAATTAAAATAATTTAATGTTCACAGTTCGCCCTCTTCGCCGTGTTGGCCGTGGCTTTCGCCAACCCCAACCCCAAGCCTGAGCCCCAGGTGCTGACCTACTCCGCTGCCGCTGGCTACCCCTACGCCTACGCCCCGGTCGCCGCTGCCTACTCCGCTCCCTATGCTGCCTACCCATACGGCTACTCAGCATACTACGTCCGCTGATAAACCAAACAATACCGAAATACTTTGGCTTGCTCAATGACTCCGATTCCAAAACGTTTGAACATGTTTTAATATAAGTTTTTTGTCGCAAATGTTTTTGTTTCATTCTTTACAATGTCTAATAGTGTAATTGTGTATTCTACCCACGTACTCGTATCTACACTAGCATTGCGCGAGCGCGGAAGCTCCGCTGTTTGACAGCTGTCAAATATGTCACACAGCCAATTATCTATTTTTTTGTTGAGCCTAATCCTGATGACAATGACATTTACAATCACAATATTATTATTACACACTTGTATTACAGCGATTGTTGTAAGATAAAGTTACTGTTATTAGAATTATTGATAGCATCATTGATTACATTCTTACGAACTATATTATATATTCTTCTGTCTAGAGTACTCATAAGTCTCTAAGTTAAGGATGGACACTTATGAATTTGCATAATCAACAATTAACTATAAATTATTACATTTTTTTACATTCACATAGATAAATCCCTTTCTAAGTTACTTACTTAGAGTACAAAATCAGTGACAATTACATTGAACAAACATAGGTATTTGTAAACATTTGGTTCACTTTCAGGCTGCAAGGGTTACGTGAGCTCAATGTCAGTGTCAGATATTTGTGTCTGTACCTGTCGTCCCCTCGAATGCCAATTCAATAAGAACAACCTGTTTAATGTGTTCTTACGTAACATTTTGTCATCTAACTACTAATACCGAATTATGTTAGTGATGGGCGTGAACATAAACAAATTAAAAAATTGGCTGAAAGAAATGTTCATTTCTGCTCTATTATGGAAATTTCACTGACAGGTATTATCTTATTAAAGATTCTATACCCTCGAGTAGTCGCGGAGAACCTAACAGGTTACCGGGGCTCCGGTTCGACGTGCAGGAGAAGGAACGGGGTGGTTTTTAGTCAGTAAGAGTCTGACACTCCTTCCCGCCTCACTCAGGCGAGAGCAGTTACAAAGTTATTCTTTTAAATGGTAGGTATATAAATGTATCACTCTATTTGCCGCTTTATGTGCTGTTTAAGTCGTCCATGAATACCCACAATACCGCAGTTGTTATAATTTATTGCAAGTAAGTAGTAAATAGTTATAATACTGCCTAGGCCATCAGATAGTTGTCTAGAGCCTACATAAACACTATAAGATCAAGTTTTATAGAATGAAGGCTGATTTATGCAATGTTTATAAACATTGTTTTTGCATAAATATTATACTGACATAAATTATGAATCAACAATGATAAAGTTTTTTTCTCCTCAAAAGAAAGGGTAGGTAGAGGTAGGAACTCGTATT